AAAAGTATTTTCGGTAGGGCAAAAGTAGGAAAAACAGAGCGTCGAACGTCAATGACGCGTTTGGACGTCGTGGCAGGCATCGTGTAAACTTCCAACCACTTAGAGTACGCATCGACAATGACTCCGCAGATGCGCATACGTTTCGCCACCCACCGACTGAATAATGGATCGCTTTCAATTACTGTTTATGATGGCGCTGGACTCGAGGAAGACTTCAAGTCTTTCCACAAAGTTAGTCCAGGTGCCAGCACTTTTGCCGAAAGCGGTAAGTCTTCGAAAAGTGGACAACGTCGGTAGCCACGTGCTGTGCTTGATACTGGACGCTTACCATTCGCTGAGAAGAAACTTGCTTGTTCGTCTGCCACGAGTCGTCCGATATCAGGTCATCACCGCTACTCCATCTCCCGACAAAACAGGTCTTCATTGTCCGCATGTCCATAGTTAGCAATCACGTGAACTTACAAATTCCCGAACGCTCATAACTTGCCGTCGCTAAACGCCGTTCATTCATAGCCTCTTCATTGCAAATAAACGTCTTCCTATTTCTTCAGATGGTTTTCATCATATTCCTCCTAAACTGTACTTACAACATTATGTGTGTCGGTACTTCCGAAAATATTGGAACGGCGTTTGTTTTCTGGGAACCCCCCCCCCCCCCCCCCCCCCTATAATGTAACAACCTTTACAACACCTTCCGGATCCCGTGAAACACAATATTTTGTGACGTCACTTTTCAGTCGTCATTATAATGGTGAGGTAAGCACCGTAAATCGCGAAGCAGTTTACTTGACGTCCGCTTCCACTGGTATTTTGGAAGATTGAATCTACTGAGCGTGCATTCCTGCAGAAGAAATTTTCAATGATATAATATTGATACGTCAATCAACAAGTGATTCCTTCTTGGTAAGATTTATTGCGAAAACCCGTGACAACTGCCGAACCGCATTTATACCCAGCCTTACATTCTCGCATACAGGAGTTAACTAGGCCACGCTTCTTGAACCAGCTGAGCTTGGCTGAGCACAGCTGGCAGCGGCGCGAGCAAGGCCACGAGGGGAACGTGATGGTGCTCGAGCCATCCCACCGTGAACCAGTGTTTCGGCCACCCCACGGGTGCGTGTCGCCATCTATTGGTTGAACTAACGCTTTGTTCAAGATGGCTGCCGTGGGACCGTGCCTTAAGGGCACCTATCAACACTATGAGCTCGCACTTTCAGCCTTCGCTGCGGTACAACATAAGATGAAACGGAGTATAATTGATGGGGGTTCGCCCCAATAAAGCTACAGATAGAGCCGTCGGCCACATCGCCGCCCATGGCCAGCGCCAGCAAAGCACATGCTATTGCGGAAGATTGGGGGAGGTATCTATAGAGTACAGTTGCAACAAATATTGTCGAAGAAGGCATGATTAGGGGCCAGAGCTGCCGCTAGCACGATCACGGCTCGTCGCGGAATCCAAAGCTCGGCGAGGGGGGCCGTTGTGGCGTCGGGGCCGATAAGACTTTCGTTGTGTCTCTCTCGCTTTAATTCACGTGAACAATTCTAATTGTCGTTGCTTTACTAAAAAAGAATGTTTCAAGCGTTTATGATGAAGGAAAAGTGGGCATATAATAAATTGGCATTGCTATTTCTTTTATAGATAATGTGACATCAGTTTTGGTTTCCTTTTCGTTTTCAACTATGTCCCTGTTTACTTAATAATTACGTTTATTATCGGAACACGGTGAGAAACGCCAACATGGCGACAAACGCACTGCTGGAACAACGTCTTCACTTCGTTGTCTTTTGTCCTCTGATCCCAACTGCCATTGGGCTGGCTCCTTGTACATAACACCTTTCCCCTCTCAGACGCGGTACCTGGGGGGCGGCCATCTCGTCCAGTAAGATCTGTGCGGAGCCGTTTTGTCTAGCTGCCTCTCTGGTGCCGTAGTTTCTGGTTCTTCATCGTCCTGGCCCATGCCCTATGTGAGCGTCGCTGATGCCCCATTATTTGCATCTTCTTCGAGGCGACGTTTGCGAATCTGGTTTAAGTGTCGGCGAGTGACGTCAGTTGCACACTTAACAAGCGACGAACGTCGACCCATTGGTCTTACTAAGGTGCCAGGAATCCAGTTGGGCTTCTTCAGAAACTGCCAAACCATTAGTTCTTCTCCAGGTTGCGGTTGCCTGTTTGACAATAACTTCTCTTACTATTGGTGACTCTGCTGTCGGTACGGGGTGATCATGGAGAGTTGGTAGCTCCTGACAAAACATGGCCGTAGCTGGAGTAACACCTGTTGTTTGGTGAACCTTACTATGCTGACGGAACAAGAACCGTGAAAGTCTCAAGTCCACCGATGCAAATGGTTCTCGGGCCAGCGCTCTCTTCAACTCGCCAACGTATCGCTCTGCCTGCCCGTTGGTAGCGGGATGGTATGAAGCCGAAGTTACGTACCGAACTCCATTGTCCCTGTAAAAGTTCTGTATTTCGACAGACACGAGCACTGTTCCGTTGTCTGACACCACCTTGTGTGGTATCCCAAATGTCGCGAGCAGTGAGCGCAGTACATCAATGACCGATGCCGATGTGGGACGAGCTACTTGTCTCACCTCTACCCACTTAGTATAGGCATCCACAACTACCAAAAAGGTACGTCCCTCCAAGGTACCAGCAAAATCTACATGGAGCGTATGCCGTGGTGCCGATGGTTTCGTCCACGAAGGAATCGGAGCTTCTGCCGGATTCGTATGCGTGCGCTGGCATGGCTTGCATGCTCCAACTGTTGTTTCAATGTCGTCATCCAAACGTGGCCACCATAAATAACTGCGCGCACAGGTTTTCATGGCCATGACTCCTCGATGGCCTGCGTGAACCAGTGTCATTGCTTGCTTGCGGGCTGCTGTTGGCATGACGAAGCTTGCGCCCCAGGTAATGCATCCGCGATGAATCGCCAACTCTGTGGCTCTTCTTCGATAAGCGGTGAAGCCGTTTCCCTTCAGTTGCTGTATACCGTGCCCTCTTGAATTGCTCTGTAAAGTTTGGACAGGATGGCATCTTCCAGCGTTAATATTGCCGCCAACTCGGCTGTAAGGGGCGGACTTGAAAGGGCTTCGAACATGAGGATGTCACCAGGAACGTAAGGTTCCTCGATGCGATCTGGTAACGGCAACCTACTTAGCGCGCCTGCGTTCTGATGCAACTTGCGGGCTCGGTATTTTAGGTCGTAGTCGTAGGCTGCAAGCTTTAGACACCAGCGTGTCAGGCGGGGTGAAAGTATCTTTGGACCGGTTTCTGCGGTTCGAGAGTTCCCAGTATGGCTGGTGGTCGGTCACGAAGGTTACCGGTCGTCCCGCAATATATTTTTGGAACTGGTTGGCTGCGAACACCACAGCGAGGCCTTCCTGATCAAGTTGAGCGTAGTTGCGCTCAGCAGCACCTAATGTCCGGGACGCGAAGGTTACCAATGCTTCCCTGCCTTGACTGTCCTGCTGGGCTAGCACCGCATGTGACGCCTCACCATATGGTGAGGCGTCACATGAGATCAGTAGTGGCTTTGTCTCATCGTAGTGCGCCAGGAATGTCCTCTTCAGGATCAGTTTCGTGAGCTCTTCAATAACTCTCTGATGTCTTTCTTCCCATTGCCACGGAGTATCTTTCTGTAGCAGCTCATACAATATGGATGCTACTGTGGCTATCTGTTCTAAAAAACGGTCGTAGAAGGCCAGCATGCCCAGGAATGACTGCAGAGTCTGCTTAGTAGTCGGAGCGGGTGCTTCCACTATCGCTTGTACCTTTTCGTCTGTGGTGTGTACGCCCTTAGCATCAATCGTGTGGCCCAGAAATTGTACTACCGGTACACTGAAGCGGCACTTAGTCTTGTTCAGCCACAAGTTTGCCTTTGCCAGTCGCTTAAGCACGGCTGACAATCGTTCCTTGTGCTCCTGTTCCGTGACACCACTGACAATGGTGTCGTCGAAGTACACACAGACACCGGTTAGCCCACTCAAGGTGGTCTCTATGAACCTTTGAAATATTGCTGGCGCTGCTGGCACACTGAAAGGAAGCCTCTTCACCTTGTACAGTCCTTTTACTGTGTTTGCAGTGAGCAGCTCAGCCGTAGTTGCAGTCACGTGAAGTTGTTGGTAGGCTTGCGCTAGGTTGAGGGTGCTGAATGTAGTTCCTCCCCGCAGACTGCTCAACACTTCCTCCGTCGTTGGCAAATAATAAGACGCCTTTTTCGTGGCCTCGTTCACTGTGCTGCGATAGTCATTACAGAGACGAATGCTTCCATCCTTTTTTCTCACCAACACCAACGGTGTGGCCCAGTCAGAATGTTGTGTAGGCTCCAAAATGCCTTGATGTTCCGAGCGGTCAATCTCTGTCTCGACGGCTGAACGGAGCGCAAAGATGACGTGCCGCGCTTTCAGAAACTTGGGTCGCGCTTCATCTCTCAAATCCAGGTATACTGGTGTTCCTACATGACCACTGGTGGTCTTGGAAAAGACTGACTGAAATTTTTGTAAATGCTGTGTAATGCTGCCATTGTGTGTGGTTTGCTGAATCACAGTGACCTAAATGCCCAGTGGTCCAAACCAGTTACGTCAAAGCAAGTTGCATCCAGGGCCTTGGACCACAAGTAATGGAAGCTGGCAAGTCTTGCTCGAGTGGCTGACGTCCATTTTTAGCAGTCTTTACTTCATAATTCCGTTTATTATCGGAACGCGGTGAGCAACGCCAACATGGCGACAGACGCACTGCTCGAACAACGTCTTCACTTCGTATGTCTTTTGTCCTCTGCTCCCAACTGCCATTTGGCTGGCTCCTTGGACATAACAGTCCCTTGACGCGCACCTCAACTAGAGTTGTTAGGTCTAAGTACCGTGTAACACCGGAGAACTCAGTTGAGCTCCATGACAGTTGAAAAATCTCAACGATCGTTGGCTTAATGACAGTTAAGAGCACTAGTGTAACTAGATCATTACACATCGAACATTTCGCTCGGGTCTTAATAAAAATTTACCTTTGGAAACAGAGTTACAAGCGTCTTTGCTGACGCCTTCTTTTTGTCCAGCCCTGGAATATAAAAAAAAAAAAAAATGAAGAGATGTAGCTCGTGCTGCAACCGTGTGCTTGCAATCGACATTTTTTACTCCCGGTTATACGAGCGGCTTTTAGTCTCTTTTTATTTATCTACACTTTCAAAAATTCCTCTGGGCTTAAACCCGCACAAAGCGGCTGGAGGGCCAGTCAATGCAGTTCAGCGAGCAAGTGCTTCTGGAGATGAGGCTGAAAAGCTTTGAACCGATCCATACTGTACGTAAGGAAACCGAGGAAAGTGTTTGAAAGCACTTTCCCGGTGCGTAAGCAAGCATTTTATTTTAAACCTGACTTTTTTGTTTTGTTTTAGGTGTTATTGCATAATTTTTTATAAAGTATGACAATTGGAATTTGATTTGTTTAGATGAGACACTGAACTCCCCATAAAATTATATTTCTAGGCATCTGGCTAGAACACTTATGCCAAAAGATGAAGTTTCTTATTTTGAAGATTGTTTGTTCCTGTTCCACCAATTAAAAAGCACGGCGAACGAGCCCATAAACGCACCCGATCTCGACACCCCCCCGCAACGTCGTCCTCCGCACATTAAAGTCCGTCTGTTATGGCCACCAAATGAAAGCAGAGGCACGCGCAAACGCAGCATCTTCAGCCAGTTACAGCCGCGCCATCCTCCAAATTTCGTTTATACTACCTGCGCGGCAAGGCAAGCTCCGGCTCTAAGCTAGGCTTCGACTGCGCTACGCGCTATCCCCCCTTGCTTCGCTCTGCTACGCACGCAGAACTTTTATTATGCAGGTTTAGTAGATCGTACGACGGAGAGCGGGCCCAGCGGCCGCGTGCTCAATTCATGCTTCCAAGTAACGGCACGGGCTCCCGCTATCAAGGCGTAGCTCTGGAAACGGTCTACTAAAAGTCTGTTATTATAAAGAGTTTTAGTAGACCTTGTTTTCAGGCCACGCTCTTCGTAGCGGCCGGGGAGCTCGTGCTGGCACTTCGATGCATACTCCGAAGCGCGTGCCCGTCCCCCTATAAAAATGCGTTTCGACATTTTCTTGAAAACGCGTTGACTTCTTGTTGACTCAGTTTACTTTCTTTTGACTTTGACTTTCTATTGACATGGTCACCAGATAGTTTGTTCATTTTGTGTTGCAACGTTTCTGATGATTTTCTTCAGCTTGATTGAAAAGAAAACCCGTTGACTTTCTATTAACTCTATGTTGATTTTTTTCTGCTGACGTCCTGTTGACAGTGTCATCAGAAAGACTGCAGACGCCCTGTTTACTTTTGTTGAAAATGTTCAGTTGACTCCCTGTAGCCATTGTCAATAGATAAGCTAGATACTTCCTGTTGGCTTTTTATTGAACGTATTACATCTTGACTAGATGTCAGAAGTTACTAAGTTTCTCATCTGACAAGGTGAGAACGGTAGGGAGGAGCTTCAGTTGCCCCGCCTCCAGCGCGAGCCTTCTACCCTTGACAACGCTTCGGCGTCTCGCGCACATCGAGCGCGCGTGCGCAGTCAAAGCACGACGGAAGGCATATGGCGCGTGCTGGAGCCCAGGCGTTCGAAAGACACGCCCTGCCGTTCTCACTTTGTGAGTATAGTGATTTTATTTACCCTATTAAACTAGTCAACTAGTAAGAAAAAAAAAGAAAAAAAAAAAAGAAAAGAAAGACGTTTACAACACTTTGTAATGCGAAACTAGAGCGCAGCTATTAAGGAGGAAGAGGGGAGAGTACGGAAGGGAGGGTATGCCCTCCTCCTCCTATGTACCCTCTTCTCCTCCTCTTACCTCATCCTCCTTCCAACACCTCCTAGAAGAGAAGGCCGTAGCGCTCAATGTCGAAAAAGGAAGTCCGTAGCACAACTACGTGAGAAAACGTTTCTGGCATTGACGTGTAAAAAACGTTTCTTGCGCGGGGTGTTCGTGAGCGTTTATCCGACATTAATATATGTCCTAAAAGCGCAGTATTGTACAATTTATTATATATATATAATATAGACATGATATACAACGCGCTACCAAGGTTGAAAGTACAGTCTCCGGCAATATGAAAGACCCACTGGGAGCGCGTGGCAGAGGTGGTGGTTGGCGGGGGCGCTGCGAGCGCTCCGGGCAGTTCCATTCTGCTTCAAGGGGAGGACGCTCACTCGGGGCTCAGCTAAAGCGCGCTCCTATCACTTTGTGCTGAGCTTGAGTGAGCGTCCTCCCCTCGAAGCAGAATGGAATTGCCCGGAGCGCTCGCAGCGCCCCCGCCAGCCACCGCCTCGGCCACGCACTCCCAGTGGGTCTTTCATATCGCCGGAGACTGTACCAATTTTATATTTACGATTATCCCCGTAACCGCGGGACTACGTGCAATCCCGCAGATCCCCACACTTTCGAATGAACCGGTCCGCGGCGACGTTTTCTTCCCTCGTACGGGCTCCGATTCTGGTAAATTTACGTTGTGTGTGAGCAGCTGAGACTGTCTAAAAATGAACGCTGAGACTTTCAGAAGGGAAGGGAACCGAAAAAATATCTATTCATGGCAGGCGAGCGCACGCGAGCAAGAGATGGGTCGACGACGTCAAGCCTCTCACATTGCTGTCGCCCGCTGCTCTCATCTGTCTGTCTGTCTGTGCGTGCGTGCGTGCGCGTGTGTGTGTGCGTGCGCGCGTGTGCGTGCGTGCGTGCGCGTATGTGCGTGCGTACGCGCGCGTGTGCGTGCGTGCGTGCGTGTGTGTGTGTGCGCGCGTGTGTGTGCGTGTGTGTGTGTTTGAGTGTGTGTGTGGTTTTGATCCTTCCCGTCGTTTGTTGGTCGTCACCGCAGTCTCCAGTAGCTTTTCTGTGTTCGCTTGATACTACTGCATTTACGTGGATTCACGGAACAAGTCCTGCTACGGTTTGAGTGACATGTGTGGCAACTAGCCAACGAAGACTCTGGTCGATTAATCGATAGACCTCTCTCTCGACAGAGAAAGACTTAAAGTTCGTGTTCAAATGTATTCGTCACGGATATTGTGGGACCAATGGATACGATCGACAGGTGAGAAACAGCTTATTTATGGGCTTTGTTGGTCATGTGGGACGCGAGTAAAGTGCTGCAGTCAGGTTGTTTTTTGCTTTTGTTTTTCCTGATCGAATGACCTTTTGTTCGTCGCTATCTGTGTGCGGTTACGTCGACATTTGTAAATATGCGTAGTAATATTCTAGCTTTCACTGGAAGGTGAATAACAAGTTTGTGTGATTATACGAAGTGCGTTGTTTGTGCTTGTGTTTATTTATGCTAATGTTTTTTTATTGCCTTTACCGTTTTTATAATAGAATCTTAACTATATTAAGGTATTAGTACTATTGTATACAAAACAAGTTATATTTTGTTCTAAGGCGGCTCGAGTGCATAGGGAGAAGTAAATTAGTTGACTGTAAATAGTAAGTTTAGCACCTCTGCCACACGGAAAGGTTAATATATTTTCTTCAATGATATGGGACTTAATCCAAAGCTCATTTGTCGACCCCATAATGTCATTCGATCAAAATTACATTACTTTTGCCATGTGGTCGAGGTATGATACAAGAATTCAGTGACTGCACGCGATAACATCGCTTACATGATCGTAAGTGACACTTATCTAGCCGTGTCCGCGTTGACTACGTCTACCTGATTTTTAACTGCGATCTGTTTTGCTGTGTCCAGTCACTGCGTGTCTTGCCATTTCGTCGAAGTATTTCTGTGTAAAATATGCATTCCTACAGCAATAATTGCGTGACTCAATGTTTTCTCTTATACGCATATTTCGTACCATTTCATATCGATTATTTAGCGGTGTAATATTTTGCCCGTGTAATAAAATGTTTTCGGGACCCCTTGATATGTGCAGCTTTCATTTTAGCTAATAAGACACGCGTATGTGACTAAAAACGCGTTACGACGGTCGATCCACGCGCGTAGCCTTCGCTTCGCCGCGCGCCCCCGATGGCCTTTCTTCGCGACGTCACGAGAAGAGCGCTACGGCCTTGTCTTCTAGGAGGTGTTGCTCCTTCCCTCCTCTTCCTCCCTTCCTCCTCGTGTCCTTCTGCCGCTGAATTTGTTCATGGCTGACGTGACACAAAGTCGTGACGTCATTTTCCCTGCTAAATTTAGCGGGGAAATGGAATTGGTGTTTGAGATTACGTGGCATCAATTTCCCCGAAAAATTTAGCGGGAAAATTTCCCCGCTAAATTTGTCGAGAAAATTTCCTGCTCAATTTAGTGGGAAATCGTCCCGCTAAACTTAGCGGAAAATATTCTTGCTAAATTTAATGGGGAAATTTCTCCGCTAACTTTAGCGGGGAAACGTCCCATAATGCAACGCGCGCTTTTGCGCCGACGCCGACGGCGCTCAACCCGGAAACGGGTGCAAAAGAACCGTGCCAAAAGACTATATTAAAGTGTAACACCATATTCTAGAGTCACGCTGAGATAGCGGGTGCTCGTATACCGTCACTTCGAAGCATGGATTGAGCACACGTGAGCTGGGCCCGGTCTCCGTAGCGTACGATCAAAACTTTTTATAATTACAGAGTTTTAGTAGATCGTACGCAGCGGGCACGGGCTCAATCCATGCTTCGAAGTGACGGCGCAAGCCCATGCTAGCAAAGCGAACCTCTAGCGTACGGTCTACCGAAAGTTCAAAATCTCAAGCGCGGGTGTGTAGCAAGCCTCGTCGGAAACGCCAGAGGTTCTCCAGGGGACCGCCCCCTCAGAATCGACTTCCACAACGGTGGTGCATCCGCTTTAACTAGTTTAACTAGCGTTGCCGTGTTCACTTGAGCACACGGCATTTGGATGATATCAAAGGTCGTTGCTGGCTTCAGGTGCTGCGTTCGCGCGTTCCTCCGTAGATAAGACACTTCGTTGCCATGTGGACGCTGACCATAGCAGGAGGATGTTATCATGTGGAAGGAGGCGGCGGGGTGGCGTGATCAAGTGGATTCTTGGTCACTCTCGCTGAGCATTTCAATTGGCAGAACTTAAGCAAAAAAAACTT